AATTCTCGGTTATATTATTTATCCCTAATGTTTCCTTCTCGTTTATCATTTAAGCCCGTTCACAAACTCATTCTTAAATTGTGTGCACGAAATACGAGTAAATAGCCAACATGCAAATGGAGCCATTGGGTCAAAAGTGGACATTAAGGTCTATTAACCTATTAGCTGACAATGCAATTTAGTATTAACTCTGGCTAACGCCAGACCAATTTACACTGTAACGCCAGACGATTTTACTTGCTAGTGGCAGAGTACTGTCAGTACATGGGTTAACAAACACATCTGACATTGGTCTCTTATTAACCCATTAACAGGCAATGCACCCTAATACAGGTAACTCTTCAGAATTTGCTTAGAGTTAATGTGAGTAAAATACATCTTGTATTCAAGCGCTTTCATGTACAAAGTTTCGTTTGAATACGGCACAGAGTAGGAATATTTATTTTGAATTTTTCAAATTTTTGAATTTGGTTTTTACAATTTTACTCGCACGCACGTTTATAGCTCGATTGATGCACATGCAAATCGTGCCGACCTACAGAATCGATTTCCGGTTTTTCCTAAACAGCGCGTTGTTTTGATCGCCGCGCTAAAAAATATAAATATTCTGTAAATACCGAAATAAAAGATGAAAATCCCAAGACACAAGCTTGAAAATAACACTATAAATAGTGTTACTATAAATAGTGTTTTCGATTCTGGTCCCAATAATATTATTACGAAAAAGATATGTTCAAAGGGGCAGAAGTTATGTTCGGCAAAATGTATGGCAAGTTTACATTGTTTGTTATATTATGAAATATGATACCATACTTGTATTAAAATTCGCGTCGAACTAAATATTATTATATTAGGCAAATGAATAGACTTGCCAGTTGCCACAAGTCGACCTCGAACGAAATGCGTTTCTTCGAGGTCGACTTGTGGCAAGTCTAGCAAATGAGAACCATACAATAATGGTTCTAGTTCTTGTTGCTATTTTGAAGGCACGCTTTATCTTTAGTATAGCTACCACAAAGCTTTTCGCGCGGATTATATTTCGCGCAGTACGCACCCAGCCGCCAGCGCTACGCGAATTCTCTTAATTCTAAGTACTGCGCGGATTTCGTAATACAAGTATTTAAAGGTATATTGTCGACATTTGACTAACACTATATCGTAAGGAATTAGGAGAGTTTGTCCTTGTTTATATTCCAATATATTGTATAAATTTCCTGGGTATAAATTTATGAAAGTTTGGGGTTTTCTAGTCGTTTAATAAATTAAAATTCAAAAAGAAAAACATTAATTCAACAGGCAAGAAAGTCCAGAGTGCGACGCAAAAATTGACACAAGTACATAACGGATGTCCACAGGAAACCGGCACAATTCTTTGAAAATTCAACGAAACTGTGTAAAATATAGTTTGATCACTCTGTGAAAAGTCGCCATTGGAGTTTGGAATTGTGCGCGTGCGTACAAGTGTATGGGCTAATAAAAGAAACATGTACCACAAGCATGAGTCGACTATTACGTACATAAATACGAGATTATTACTATACACCGAGGTGAGCCTGCGATGAGCTAATGCAAACTCCATTTCTCGAGTACGGAAAAAACAGAAAAAGAGGGATTTAAGACACTTGGCCTACAGGCCAGTGTAATAAATAAATAAGTATTAAATGCCAGGGGGGTTGCTAACCTCTTTTATTTTAGAGTCTCAATAGACTTTTAGGGACAGTTTATATCTTTAATTTGCACATTCAAGGAGTCTGACATGCATGTTTTGATTTACAGACTGAGAACTAAGCTATATTTTTATCAGAATTACCATAGAGGGAGCATCCTCATTCCCAAGGCTTCTAAGTGGCTGCCTGCATTGCCATAAGCCCTGAGACAAGCCGAACCGGAAGTGTGAATTTATTGGTCACTGGAAACCAATGCCAGTATGGATGAGCGAACACCAGGATCTCTGGTGTTCCGGTTTCGGCTTGCCTCAGGTTCAGGGCTTATGATAATAATACTGTATATACAAGCCCTTATACAGTAATAATAACAGTGGTAAATAATGTTCTCATCCTTTATTTTTAAAATAGATTATAAACCAGAAAAATATGTGTTCCAATCCTAACATCAAGTATCCATCAATAAATGTAATCTCTCCTGATGAGTTAGTGATTGCAAATGTTGAATCCATAGGGAGTGGTGTCTTTGGCAATTGTTTTGTAAAGGCATTTACACGACTAGGCATAAATGTGGTTGAAAAGCAGCTCAATAATGGTGATATTGATCAGCTATATAACGAAGCAAAGCACATGCAAGTCTTTTCCCACCGATGTATACCACATCTATTTGGAATACAGGTAGAGAGAAAACCATTGTCACTGATCATGGAATTTGTGGAAGAGAACAACCAGTCGATGACAGTGTACAAGGTGTTGTATGATCCAACTCCAGAGAAAACAAAATTGGGTATGTCCATAGCAGACTGGCTTTGCATCTGTTATGATATTGCAGATGAGTTAGATCATATGCACCAGAAAGGCTATTTACACTGTGACCTAAAAACAAATAATGTTTTGATCTCCAAAAAGAAGGGCTATATTATTGACTTTGGTAAAGTACGTAAGATTACACACTCTTCTGCCAAAAAGTACAAAGAAGTCTTTAGCCATATTGCACCAGAGGTACTTCAAGGCTTTCCTGCGACCACAGCCAGTGATGTGTATTCTTTTGGAAAAATCTTGAAAGCCATTGCACAAGAGGTTAATAGTACTGTACTGCTTCAGTTAGGTAAAACAGCCATAAGTAGCGATCCCAGGAAAAGGCCAACTCTTCTAGGACTACTGATTGCTCTCAACGCAGAGAAAATTCACTGACACTGATTATTAAATTCATCAATCTAAACAAATATGAGCCAGAATCACAATTAACCCATTTACTACCAGTACTCTACACTGATGAGTAAAATCGCCTGGCGTTGGACAGAGTAAATACTAAAGTAGGGCGCTTTTGGGCACATTGCCTGCTAATGGGTCAAACAGAATATAAATCTGTAAAGTATATTGCAAAAATATTAGTTGTGACTTTGGCTACCAGATAAAGCTTTGCTGGACTATGTCCCCTTACTGTGGTGCAATACAGAATTTACTTATATAAAATAATATGTCTAGTTTAATTATAATAAACTCAGTTATTTTGTAACAATATAAAGTTAACACACAGTAATGGTGGCAACTCTTGTGCTGTCAAGATGTTTCGTCTTTCGGCAGCAGGTTGTCAAGATATTGTGTCTTTCGGCAGCCAGTGAAAGCCTTACTGTGTTATACATGCTACCGGTACCATACCTAATACTAACTTAATGAGCTATGTAACACATAATTTCCTAAAAAGTAACAATAAGCTCAATTTTTAAACTTAAGGTAGTACTGGAGTCTCAAGTCAATCTCTCCGATATCTACGGTTTTTGGTCAGTTGGTAGATATAGTAAAAACAAGTTCCCATGCTGAATTTTACAGTGATGCGTTTTATTCTTACTGAGATTTTCGCGATCAAACATTCGTATCTAAGGATGAAAGTTCGCGCCAAAACTGGAGTTTAGGCTGAAATACAATGCGTTAGCGTTCGCTCTCCTACAGCGAGTTTTGACAGAATTTTACACCTTTGTTGTGATATGATATGCGGCATTTTAGTCTCATTTTGCGCATTTGTTGTGGGCTATTGACAGCGAAAGTCATTGATCAAAGGCATTCAAAGCTCTCCAAAGCTTTTCTTCATCTGATCATGGCAGGTAAGGAATAATTGAGTGCTTCTCGCTTTTTACGTTTTCACAGAAACAATTGATGATAGCACAAAAACATAATGCTTGTTCTTATTATAGAATCAAGCAACTCAGAAAACACAAACCGCCAAAGGATCGCGATGCGCCGCTTGGAAGAAGCGGTGCGCGAAGAGACGTAAGGCTAAGTGTTTTTGAATCCATTTAGTTTCTTTGTGTTTGAAATATATTCTAATCATTCTTTTTCTTATACAGCGGAGATATAATACCTGGATCATTGGTCCATCTGATCCACAACAACAGCCAGCGCAACGATTCAGAATCGAGGCGCAGTATCTATAAATCGCTCTTCGATTTCTTATCAGTAAGTAGTGTAATATATGTAAATTGTTGTTGTATGTCCCGTTTGTTACCTGATTTGGTTTTTAGTCAGGTCTATGGTCAGATCAAGCAAGTGGCGTCGGCAAAGTGCCAAGTGTAAAAATGCTTGTCTTCATAGGGGTTTCT